TCGGTCCCGGGGCAGCGGGGGCAAGGGTCGCTTACCCTCCGCCCAACCAGCCGCCCCCGGAAGCAGATGGGCCGCCAGGCTCTCATCAAGGGGGGGCACACCCGAACACGCTGTGTCCGCGCGGCCCTCCACCTTGATGATGCCTGCCATAGCGGCTACTGGGGCCTTCGTTTAAATGGCTGCTGCCATGTCGCCTCCACATACCGCCATAAATCAGGCAGCTGGGGCGAAACGAAGGTTGGCTGCGCTGGATGCACCGGGCCGTAATACCCCTGTCTCAGGCGGCTTATAGGCCTCGGTGGCAGCGGTGGGGGGAGCTGTAGGCCTACACGCTCCGCCGCCAGGGTCATCACCGCTGGGAAATCCCTCCGCGCAGACCTGAGAGTCGGACCTCCAGACACCGAGGCGTCCTCGTCCTCCTCCTCCGGAATCGGGCTTGACTGGCCCCACGGAAGGGAGAACCGGAACGGCACTTCCTCCTCCCCTGACTCGCCCATCTCGACGACGTCGAGCTCCGAATCCTCCACCTCCTCCTGCGGGGCCTCCGCCGACAGGAAATGCTGCCCACGATGCTCACGTGTGAACCGAGGAAGCATCTGGCAGGCTGAGCATGCCGGTGTCGAGCCCATACAGCTCACGGCGTGGTCAGGCCCCATACATAGGAAGCAGAAGGGGTGTGGATCCGCTCCCGCGATCAGGTTAGGACATTTCGGACAGGTCCTGTGGTCAAGAACTGACTCCATAACTCTCTATTCTCTCGTATTTTTAAGCTCCGTGAAAACACTTCCGCCGCTGAAGAGAAAAGGATGATAGTCAGGAGGTGAGGCCTCCTTTTATACGGTGTGATGCGCGCGCATTCAGGTAGGCCCGCCCAAGGCCGGCTACGTCTATAGAAGTCTCAGTGGGAGAATGCTCGCAGGGTAAGGTAGTACCTATAGAGTCCAGTAGAGGGCGGAGCCTGTGAGAGATATAACGTGGCTGGGTCTTTCAGCATGACAATGATCCCAAACACACCGCCCGGGCAACGAAGGAGTGGCTTCGTAAGAAGCATTTCAAGGTCCTGGAGTGGCCTAGCCAGTCTCCAGATCTCAACCCCATAGAAAATCTTTGGAGGGAGTTGAAAGTCTGTGTTGCCCAGCGACAGCCCCAAAACATCACTGCTCTAGAGGAGATCTGCATGGAGGAATGGGCCAACATACCAGCAACAGTGTGTGAAAACCTTGTGAAGACTTACAGAAAACGTTTGACCTCTGTCATTGCCAACAAAGGGTATATAACAAAGTATTGAGATGAACTTTTGTTATTGACCAAATACTTATTTTCCACCATCATTTGCAAATAAATTCTTTAAAAATCCTACAATGTGATTTCCTGGATTCTTTCCCCCCATTCTGTCTCTCATAGTTGAAGTGTACCTAGGATGAAAGTTACAGGCCTCTCATCTTTTTAAGTGGGAGAACTTGCACAATTTGTGGCTGACTAAATACTTTTTTGCCCCACTGTACATGATGTTGTGTAATTTTAAACCAAATCTAAGTCCTCAGGATGACTTTAAGACGTGAACATGGTCATTTTTGTTTTGTAACATTAAATAAAATAATAAAAATATTTTATAAAAAAAAAAATAATAATAATAATTCCCGATCCCCGATTTTTTTTTTCCCGATTCCGATCTTTTGAAAATCACGTGATCGGTTCCGATCCCCGATCACGTGATCGGATCATCTCTAAACATAATACATGAGAAACAAACAACAAACATGTAACATAACAGCAGGATCAGTGAGAGCTGCTCAAAGAGCCTTCAGCGTGCATCTGATCTGGATTCAGCTCTGTGTTTACTGAGAGGATTGACTCTCTTTTTTCTGTGCTCACGGTCATGGCCTTTCTCCATGGAGATCTTTTCTTGCCAGTCACTTCCTTTACCTTAGTTGGAGCAATGGCATCTATAATTTGTTTTATTTTTTAATTAAAATGATCTACTAGCTCATTTACTCAGATGTTAGCAGGGGCAAGTGTGGAAGAAACATTCCGAGTAAACATTTCCCTAGTGATTTCAGTTAAATCTCGCTTTGTGGTTACCTCCTTTTGAACATGTGTGTGAACAGAAATAGAGCTCTCAAAGGAATGATCAGAGAGTGCAACATCAGTCACCACAACCTCAGAGATATTCAGACCCTTTGAGATCATTAAGTCCAGAGAGTGCCCCCTTATTGTGCGTCAGTCCATAGTTATCAAGAAACCAAAACAGTTCTTTAGCCCCTCTGTCCTGGGGGTTGTCAACATGGATGTTAAAATCACCAACAATGACTAGACGGTCAAAGTCAATACACACTATAGACAGCAGTTCAGTAAAGTCATCAAAAGAAGCTAAAAGAAGCTAGTAAAGAGCACAGCTGAACTCCCGCAGCCCTTGGGGGCCCCTACATTGGTTGTGATGGCAGATGACAGGGTTTTGTTAACCTTCACAAGTTGCTCTCTACTGGTGAGGAAAGCGGCATACCAGTAAATCAGGTATGGATTTACTTCCATTTTGGCCATTTTTGACACCAAGATGTCTGCTTGTATTGTGTTGAATGCTTCTGAGAAGTCTAGGAAGAGGGCTCTTGCATATGTAACACTTCTATGTACTAGGTTGCTTTCAATGAGGAGTAGAAGATAATATAAATAGAAAAAACAATATTAAATTAATATAGCCGGCATTTTATTAAACATGCATACAACACTTTCACAAACCCCTCATCCACCCCAGTGAAACCCAATCTGCTATCATGGACAAAACAACCAATAATCAAACCCGGGTAGTCTGCAGCTTCCCTCTAGCAATCCAATGACTATCAGTCCTCCTTCTGGTGAGTGGAATCCTTTATAATCCTTTCTCTGGTGAGTGGAATCCTTTATAATCCTTTCTCTGGTGAGGAAAAGACAAAAACTGCAGCTCCAAAAACTTTCGTCGGTTCTGCTAGTTCCTAGTTCCCCGCAGCATCAAAAAAGCACATCATCAAACAATTCGAACACTGCCCACACTCTTACACACACAGGGCCCACACTCAGCTGACACTCATTGAGCCTCATTAACAACCACACCTGGCCTGCTCTTCCTCTCCTCCCTCATATGCAGACTCTGTTGCCCCAAGTGGGAGCTGCTGTTTATTACAGGGTGAAAAACTCACTGCATTATTTGAGTGGGTTACACATAGGTGTGACGTTTATCTAAATGTTTAGTAATGATATGAACCAGAGTAGCAACAGTACCACCCCCTTGCTTATAGGCAAATTGGTATGGATCAAGTATGTCTTGTCCGTCACAATAGGTTTAGCTGAAGAGGTCATTCCTGTCATGGTTCTCATGGTGTCCCACACTTTTTTGGGGTCTTTGGCTTTAAAAGCATTTCCCAAAAGCTCTGTGTGCCAGTTTTGATTCTCTCAATTTGACTTTCAGTTCTCTCTCTGTATAAGTGCTCCATAGTCTTTGTTTTTGAAAGCTATTTTCCTGGTTTTTATAACTTTTTGTTAATGTCCTTAGTCACATATGATTTATTACTTGGATAGATTTGTATTATTTTAGTGGGAACACAGAGGTTAATATAGTCTTTGGTAACAGTAGTTATTTCATCTAGTGAACCTTCCTGAAAAATGTCCCAATCTGTCCAATCAAAACAGGCTTTCAACTGTTCCCTACTTTCATTTGTCCATGTCCTTATTACTTTCTTTTCTGGTTGACTTCCCTTCAGTTTGGTCTTATACACTGGTATCATATTCACAACATTACGATCAGAGTTCAGTATTGGTGGTCTGTATTTAGACACATAGGCTCCTTTATCATTAACAAAGCATTTGTCCAAAGCACTTATATACTAATAAAGGACTGGCTTTTCTATAGCCAGTTGAGTAGCACTTGAAATGTTTGGCTCTATGAAACCTGATGTACTTATATGATTCTGTTTTCTTCAAGGTTGTGTCTTCCTGGTCGAATGTACTTATTGTAAGTCGCTTTGGATAAAAGTGTCAGCTAAATGCAATGTAATGTAATGTCCAGGATATTGTCTTTCCTGCTGTGATCCCTAACATAATGCTGGAACCCAGGTAACACAGTCTCCAGGCGACATTGCTTCATGTCATTTTTAAATATTTGAGGATGCTTATGGTTGAGTTTTGTGAAGAATTGTTTCCGTATAGGTTCAAAAGTTGGGCATTGTGTGAGGAAGTGCTGCTCTGTCTCCACAGCAGTTCCTCCTCACTGTTGGCATGATCGCTCCTCTTTTCGCAGCCATGTTTTCTTGTACCTGCCTGTTTCTATGGCCAGTCTCTCTCTCTCTCTCTCTTTCTCTCTCTCTCTCTCTCTCTCTCTCTCTCTCTCTCTCTCTCTCTCTCTCTCTCTCTCTCTCTCTCTCTTTCTCTCTCTCTCTCTCGTTGTGTGTGTGTGTGTGTGTGTGTGTAAAACGTAGCAGCCTGCGGTCGCTCTTTAGCCTGTTCTAATGAAGGTAAACACAGTGAAGTAAACAGTAAAAGGCACAGCTCTTTGCATCTGGTGCTGCTCTTCTCAGATTCTGCTGAGTGACACGTTACTGCCTCCTGGTGCTGCAGAGATTTCATGAAGTGAAGGAGGTTTTCCCTCTATAAAACAGCTGTGGGCAGCAGATACTGTGAGAGTCACAGACATGAATACATAGGTCAAGGCAGACTGGTTGACAGACTCTCCTGTTTTGCCGATCCGGTGCTTGAACAAATGTCAAGTCGAGTCTTTTATCAATGTTAGTCCAGCAAGTCATCTCAAGTCAAAAAATATGCGACTCGAGTCCCCCACCTCTGTTATATACTGTGGTTAGAATGTTGCTGTAGTACTGTATCAAATATAATACAAATATAATAAACCCAAACATTTGATAAGTAGTATTTTGTTAACTCAAAGTTTATATTAAGTGAGTTTTTATTGTGTTAACTTGTGTATTCATGCTTTTTAGATTGACTTTCTCTCTTTCTCTGTCCGTCTGTTCTAGAAACCGAAAGGAAGAGAGAGACGTCACAGCTGTCAGCAATGTGACAAATCCTTTACAAGATCTGGAACTTTAAAGCGCCACCTGCTTATTCACACTGGAGAAAAGCCGCACAGCTGTGAAGAGTGTGGGAAAACTTTCGCTTCATCAAGTAATCTCAAAAACCATCAATTTATTCACACTGGAGAAAAACCATACAGCTGTGAAGACTGTGGGAAAACTTTCACTACATCAAGTAATCTCAAATTCCATCAATTTATTCACACTGGAGAAAAACCATACAGCTGTGAAGAGTGTGGGAAAACTTTCACTACATCAAGTAATCTCAAATCACATCAACGTATTCACACTGGAGAAAAACCTTACAGCTGTGAAGAGTGTGGGACAACTTTCTCTAGATTAGGTGCTCTCCAAATACATCACCGTATTCACACGGGAGAAAAACCGTACTGGTGTGAAGAGTGTGGGAGAACTTTCACTATATCAACTCATCTCAAAGTACATCAACGTATTCACACTGGAGAAAAACCTTACAGCTGTGAAGAGTGTGGGACAACTTTCACTACATCATTTAATCTCAAAACACATCAACGTATTCACACTGGAGAAAAACCATACAGCTGTGAAGAGTGTGGCAAAACTTTCCCTACATCAGGTGCTCTCAAAATACATCACCGTATTCACACGGGAGAAAAACCGTACTGGTGTGAAGAGTGTGGGAAAACCTTCCCTACATCAGGTGGTTTCCAAATACATCACCGTATTCACACGGGAGAAAAACCGTACTGGTGTGAAGAGTGTGGGAAAACTTTCACTAATTCAGGTGATCTCGATAAACATCACCGTATTCACACAGGAGAAAAACCGTACTGGTGTGAAGATTGTGGGAAAACTTTCTCTACATCAGGTGGTCTCCAAATGCATCACCGTATTCACACGGGAGAAAAACCGCACTGGTGTGAAGAGTGTGGGAAAACTTTCACTACATCAAGTGCTCTCAAAAAACATCATCGTATTCACACGGGAGAAAAGCCATACAGCTGTGAAGAGTGTGGGACAACTTTCACTACATCAGGTGCTCTCCAATCACATCACCGTATTCATACAGGAGAAAAACCGTACTGGTGTGAAGAGTGTGGGAAAACTTACACTTCATCAAGAAATCTCAAATTACATCTTCGTGTTCACACGGGAGAAAAACCATAGTGGTTTTAAGAGTGTGGGAAAACTATGAGAGCCAAGCTAGCTGTTTTCTCCTCCTGATGTCATGAGAGCTTTAGTTGTATAGTCTCATTGAAATAAAGCTTATTTCATTAAAATGTGTATTTTCTTCAGTGAGATATCTTTATGGATTTCCTTATGACTTGAGAGTCTGATTTTAAAAGTGGTTTAATATTTCTGAGTCTGACTCAAGCAACTTCAATGTTTGCTCTTGGGCAAAGTCATCTGAACATTGTGTACTGTGCACGTAATGTGGCACTCTACCTTTGTCCCTATATTTAGATCAGCGATACTCAACCCGCGGCTCGCGGGCCGCATGCGGCTCCTTTAAGACTAGTTGCGGCTCTTTTAAGTCCCACTTAGAAAAAAAAAATTCTTTAAAAAACAAAAACATTGTCAGCAGAATTCATCAACATTTTCATCATCATTCACAAGTCACACATCAGTCATCACACACATCAGTCTATTAAGCTGCCCCCCCCCCCCATCCCTCTGAACAACCAATCACAAATTATTTCAGGTTTCGCGCTCTGATTGCAGGTGCGCGAGATAATTGCTCCGTCACACTGGGAAAACTAGCTTACAGCACTATGCAAAAATGGCAAAGGAATATAGGAAACGAAAATATGAAGAGGAATATCGAACATTTAAAGAGGACTGGGAACTCGAGTTTTTCTTCGTCTCCACCGGTTCGGGAAAATGCATCTGCCTGCTTTGTGACAACGTCATTTCACAATTTAAAAGGTCCAATCACGACACAAAACACCCGAAGTTCAGTACCGACTTTCCGAAAGGTGGAGAGCTGAGGGCGGAAAAGCTGGCGAGACTCAAACAGAACCGAACTGCTCAAAAAAACGTATTCCACACTAATACGAGTGAAAGAGCGACAGAGGCATCCTACAAAATCACACATGAACTGATGAAAAAGATGAAGCCATATACTGATGGAGAAATGGTGAAGGATTACATACTGCTGGCTTGTTCAACGTTGTTTCCTGAGAAAAAAGACCTGGAACGAGAGGCAAAAAAAATGCAACTGTCGGATTCTACTGTAGCTAGGAGGGCATCAGACATTTCAGAGAACATTGCACATACTCTTAAGGACAAACTGTCATCTGCTGAGTTTGTCAGCCTTGCAATGGACGAAAGCTTGGATATCAATGACACGCCACAATTACTCATCTTTATCCGAGCGATCAACAGTAAGTTTGACATTACAGAAGAACTGCTTGACATGGTTTCACTGAAAAATGGAACAACGGGCATTGAAATAAAAAACGCTGTGCTGGAAACATTAGAAAAGTTTAACATTGGACCAGAAAAAATCACAGCATTCACAACAGATGGCGCACCGGCGATGCTTGGTAAGAGGAACGGAGCCGTGGCTTTGCTGAAAGAAACGCTGAAAAACGGCGGGGTTGCTGCTGAGGGTATTTTCTCATACCATTGTATTGTGCATCAACAAGCCTTGTTTGCGAAGTTCAAATGTCTGAATGAAGTGATGGCAAATGTAATCGAAGTGGTTAATTATATCAGGGCCCGTGCAAGAAACCACTTACATTTTAAACTGCTGTGTGAGGAGTTTGACACTCACTATGGAGATTTGGTGTTACACACCGAGATCAGATGGCTGTCTAAAGGACGTATGCTTGCACATTTCATGGACCTGCTTGAACCCCTGAAATCCTTCATTGTCGGCCAAGGGGAGACTTCCCGATTTTCTGTTTTGGATGATAAAGAGTGGGTGCTGTCTGTTGCGTTCCTGTGTGACATTACGCAGCACTTGAACGAACTTAATCTCAAGATGCAGGGAAGAAACAAGACTGTGTATGAGCTCTACACGGCTGTCAGAGTATTTTCTGACAAACTGGATGTACTCGAACAAAGTGTCCGTGGTTCTGATTACCGTTTTTCCCCACCGTGCAGAAAGTGATGGCGATGCATGCAGACGCTCTCCTGCCCTGTCAATCACAATTCTGTGACGTGCTAACTGAGCTCAAGCAAAACTACACATCAAGATTCCACGACTTCAAGGACCATAGCAATATTTTTCTACTTGTGAAAAACCCATTCCTGATTGAGGTCAATGAAATGAAGCAAATAAGCGACCAGCTCGGACTTGTGCAGCTTCAAATGGAGTTAGTGGAGTTAAAGAGCTCAGATGAACTTCAGCGTCAGTTTCGGATTACAGATGTCGTGGACTTTTGGAAACTGGTGGGGCATCTACCAAATATCTCCAGACATCATCTCAATGTTTCCGTCCACATACCGGTGTGAAGCAGCATTCTCTGCGCTCTCAAAAATAAAATGTCGCAACCGAAACAGATTGAGTCTGCAGCACACAACAGCGGCCCTTCGGATCGCCGTTTCCAGCGCAGAGCCCGACTTCAAATCACTTGTGCGGCAGAAGGAGTGTCAGAAATCACATTGAGTGTGAAGTAGGGGTTTCACCAACTAGTCGACTAGTCGACTACCTTTACCACTAGTCGGCGCTGCAGGCCCTAGTCGTGAAAAAAATGGAGGTAAACGAGGTGCTGCAAAATGCTTCAAAACACGTCCGACATTCTTATGTATGGCAGTACTTCAACAAAGATGTAACCAACTCCACAGTGAAGTGTCAGTTGTGTACAGTTGTACTGAAGTACAACAAAAAACCATCTGCTATGCGCAACCATCTGAAGATGAGACACCCGCTGCCGACAGCTAGCAGTAGCAGTAATGCTAGCACCAGTGAGCAACGGACCTGCGTCAGCACAGGACAGAGGCAGACGAGCAGCAAGAAAACGGGTCTACAGTGATGCGGATGATGAGCTAGGGCAGTGTTTCTCAAACTTTTTCATAGCAAGGACCACTTAACCAATAAAAAAACACTCGCGGACCACCTAACTCCACAAATATCCAAAAACACATCGTTTTTTACAAATCGCCTGAAGATTGTACAAACAAGTGGCAACATGTGTGATCAGGGTCGGCTCTAGAACAACTCGAATGGGGGGGCAATCATTTACCAAGGGGGGGCACACACTACCGTCAACAACCAACACACAAACACCAACGGAACTTCAATTTAAAAAAACATGCTGTAAAGTCTATTGTCTTTCACACACATGCAGGGTGTAGTGCTATTGTATAGCGCACCTATGACTTGTGCATACATGCACGGTTGTGGCACGACCACCAAAGCAGAAACATATAAGGACAGAGGGTGTCGTTTTCTCATACTGATATTCTGCACAAACTGTGCTGTTGTATTTGCTGTAAAGTGTCTTTACTGTAGGTTATTTTTGTATTATACTGTATATACAGCACTTTGGCTCGACCAAAAATCGTTGAAAAATGTGCTATATAAATAAAACTTGATTTGATATGGACATAGGCCATCATATAAAAAGTGTGTAAATGTATTTAGTATCCTATCCATGTGAACATGTTTTAGGTGGGAGTGGACCTAACCTCTAGGAGGGTCTGGGGGCATGCTCCCCCGGGAAGATTATTTTTTAAATATTGAAGTTAAATGCATCAATCTGGTGCACTTTGAGAGCAAAATGAAGAGATCTATGGATAGCCTACATCTCTCAGCATCCATATGAAACAGAACTGTACACAGATTTACTTTTTCTTTATGGATATTTCACTAATCATTCCCCTTTTAAACTGTATTCTTGTGTTACTGTCCTATAGTATTTCATACCCGTTTTTCATTTATTCTCTCTTTAATAACTATAATGATCATATAAAGGTATTCCTCGAAAATACTTACATAAATGGTGACCAAACCGTTTGAGACCCACTGAGATAACTTACACTAAAGTGAACTATCTAAACATTGAGAGAGTCCTTACCTCACTGAGCTGACGTTATAAGATCCTCTCAGTCTGACAGGAGAGGACTGTCCTCCACCTTGGTGTAGAAACAGCCCTTTATATCCGTTAGCATAGCTAGCTAACCAGATGCTAACCACAACATTCCACGTTACCGCTCGCGCACTCACAAAATGCGCTCGTGCCACACACACACAGAGCTTGAATGAAACACAGAGACCCATGTACTTGTACTGTACTGTATATCATATTATTTTTGATGGCTTTACTGTATAATCAGTGTAACAGATTAACAGATCGCCACTGGGCTTTCATCTAAACACTCAGCCACGTAATGATAACAAAAAAAAGGTCGGGGGTCATTGGTCAAGCAACACACCAATCAGAGAGCAGCAGTGAGCACACCTCAGGCTGTGTTTTATATTTGTATTATTTATTTCTGATGTATTTCACACAAAAAACCTTTAGTGGAAACGTTTTCACTTAGCCTATATGATAAAAAAAAGAAAAAATCGGCAAAGTGGCAAGGCTTGCCCACCCTGCGTTGGGGGGGCACAGTGACTCATTTGGGGGGGCATGGCCCGCGAATGACCCCCCATGACGCCGACCCTGTGTGTGTGATGAAGGTGTTTATCTGGGTTATATCATGCAATCGAAAGTGAAACTTAAGCTCGCTCCATTGTGGAGATATTCCCGCGAGAGTGCGGAAAACTTTAATTAATTAAAAATGTGAAATGTTACCAATATACTCACGGACCACTAGGGGGCGCTCACGGACCACTAGTGGTCCGCGGACCACACTTTGAGAAGCACTGATACTGCCAGCGGACACCGCATATCCCCACAATGGATAACCCCGAGTGAGAGGGTTTTTTCCCTGGCAGGCAACACTGTCACCCGAAAGTGGTCAAGCCTCCTTCCCTCACATGTCGATGCTTTGGTGTTCCTCAACGCAAACCAAAAATCTGGAAAGGTGGACGTTATCGTGGAGGACAGCGAGTAAGGTGTTGCGCAATGCGCTGTTGCGCACTGGATTTACGTGGCATTTCAGTAAACAGAGTTCTTTCTGTCGATTTTGGTGAGTCCAGTTACTGTTTGTTATTTACTAAGTCCAGTTACTGTTTGTTATTTACTCAGCCATGTAACACAAATTAAAATGCAGTGTTTAATGGAACTATGAGTTCCAATATAAAATACAGTTGTACACCTCTCTTTGTGTGTCTTTATTATGACGTAACGACTAGTTGACTACTATTTTGAAAAACGTGTCGACTAGTAAATATTGGTAGTTGTGAAACCCCTAGTGTGAAGTAAGTACAACATTACTCTTCTGACAACCCCTGCTGTCTATAATCTGCTGTTATATGGACTGTGATGATCAGTAAACATGCTGTCTATAATCTGCTGTTATATGGACTGTGATGATCAGTAAACATGCTGTCTATAATCTGTTGTTATGGGCAGTGATGATCAGCAATGTGTGTTTTGTGGTTGCAGTGAAAATAATAAATCACAGTTATTGCACAGTACATTATGCTTTTCATTCCTTAGTAACATATTACTATTATCCATATTCTCAAATGCATAATGGTTTCAGGGAGGAAAGGAGCGTTTTTGGATTGTGGCTCTTGCAAAAATATGTTTTCGTCAATGTGGCTCCTGATTAGGACAAGGTTGAGTACCACTGATTTAGATAAACAAATTAATCCCCATTATTACATTTCATAATTCATATGTCATGACTCACTGTTACTGTAGCACTGACCACTTTATTGTATAAAGTGCATTCAATTGAAAACACCATAGTGTTATAGTTCAATTATGTACATAAAAGTATTTACATATAATAAATAGATCATTAACGCCTACATTATCAGAGAAATTAGAATGTAACAATTGCACTGATGGCTCTGTGTTTTTTGTCACAAATGTTATATTTTAGTTTGCACTGCCTCCACGGCTATGGTTATGCCACGATAAGAACTGCTCTGTATTCCTAAAGTTTGACCTTTCTGGCAAAATATTTAATTGATTCAGTATAAATGATGGCAACAGCATAAACTAAGGTAAACACAGGTAAAAAAGCTCAAGTGGATACAAATTAGATGCATGAAACACATTAATTTTTGTACAGTAGATCCCAGGATTTATTTGTCATCAGCAGGTATGAATCAAATGTTAGGGTATCAATAACTTCTTGTAAACTAACATTTGTTGTTATGCAAGTCAACAACAACGAGATCTCACTCCACTGCAGAAGAAGAACAGGAATGATCCAGCTATTGAACCCAGTTGGATTCTTTAGGACTTTTTCTGAGCAACCATTCACCTTCATTGATTCAGTATAAAGGATGGCAACAGCAATGACATAAACACAGGTAAAAAAGCTCAAGTGGATACAAATCAGATGTACAATTATGTACAGGGAGGCTGTGACGCAGTGCGTTGGTGTTGGGATCAGGGAAGCACAGGTTCAAACCCCACTGCAGTCAGTATGTCGTGTCCCTGGGCAAGACACTTCACCCACAGTATTGAGTATGTAAGTCGCTTTGGATAAAAGCGTCTAACAAGTAACATGTAATGTAATGTACATACAAGTATTTACACTTTTTACATTAATGACGTAATACATATGAATGAAAACTATTTACAATATACATCAAATATAAAAGTCGACATGAAAAATAAACTTCACCCCAAATTGCTCCTGTGGGTTATTGCCCACAGTATTGAGTATGTAAGTCGCTTTGGATAAAAGTGTCTAACAAGTAACATGTAATGTACATAAAACTATTTACATTAATGATGTACATATATTTACAATATACATAATAAATATAAAACTCAACATGAACAATAAAAATGATAACACAGCAAGTTGAAAAACATTTAAATTACTATTTACATAGCAACAGGTCATTGCTCCAAAGTGTCAACAACAACTGTAAAATGTTGGTAACTGTTGTAGACTGTGTTCTCCAGACCCTTTGATGGAGACATCCTCTTCACATGGCAGAAGACTTTGCACCTGTACTTTTTGTGCCCCTGGGTGGGTTGGCCACAGCACGTGCACGACGGCAGCCTTTGAACCCGGGACACCTACTCCCGAGGGCTCGTCCATCCCCTTGCGCTTGTAAAGCGTGGACCTTGCCCAGGATGAGGGAATGCACTCGAGAGTAGTGGGGA